AAAAACCTTTGATAGGAAAGTCTGCTTGAAGAATGAGACACTTTGGTGAATCAAGAGTTTAAAAAGCTTTGACATATTTTTGGTGGTATGGGCTGTCCCTCCCTACCACTCCAATATATGTAAAAATCCTAATCCCTAGCAACCTAGAATGCAACCTTATTTGGGAACCACTGTGTACATAATTACAATGAGCTCACACTGGATTAGGGCACAGGATGAAAAAACATGAGGTGAAGTAAAAATTGGAGGAACGACTGTCACCAGGAGCCCCTCAGTGCTCCAGTGGAATCAACCAGGCTTCAGTAAGAAACAAGTATCTGTGGCTTTATGCCTTTTGGGGCACTTCGCAGCCCTGGGCAACTAACGCAAGGGGTAAATATTAAAAGACAGTATCAATGTATCTATTGTTACTCCTTATTCTTTTCCCCCACATTTGATTTAAAAGACAACTGTATAAAATGATGATAAATCTATGTTGATAGGCACATGTGTACGGAAGGCTATTTTTTTGTTTTTTGGTGGTACCAAGGATGGAACTCAGAACCTTCCGCTTGCCAGGCAAACACTTACTCCACTGAGCTATCTCCCTGGCCCCAGAAGGCTGATCTGCAACAATAACTGCAAGCAGGGGAAGGAAATGGAGTTACAGAAGCAAGACTTTGTCCTGTACTGAAACCAAAGGAATGGTAACTGGAGCTAGACTTTATACAATGAGACATTAATTGTAATCCCCAAAAAAACTAAGGGAGATGACTAAAAAATACTCAGTAAAAGGCATGACAAGAAAAAGACATGCTAGAAAATATCTACTTAACACAAGAAGGCAGTAATGAAGAAATTAAAAATGATTTAACAAATACAGAAATCAACAGAAACGTGAAGCCCTGAGTTGAGTGCGCACCACCTTCTTCGCTACCTCCTCTCCCCGTCATCTGGTTTCTGCTCTCCGTCATCTGGTTTCTGACATCTAGCCATTTTCCCTCTCCTTTGCTGGTTCCTCCCTTGGCCCAATCTCTACTGTGGGAACCTAAAGGCTCTGCCTACGCCAGTGAAGACAAATCTTTTAGATCCAATGATACAGACAGCCTGCTGTGGTGCATGTGCCACAGGCTCCCCACCACTGGTCCAGGTTCTCTTTTCTCAACAGACTGCATGTCCCACAGCTTTCAGTAGCCTCTGTGCCAATGAACTCTCCAACCTGGTCTTCAGCCAGGTCAGGATCCTGAATTTGAAACTTTCAGTTGCTCTTTGGTCACCTACATCACTGAGCACTGTCCTCTCATAGCTTGTTATGCCAGTGGTACAGCTGTTCTTTAAAAACAAACAAAAAAAAACCCTACTTTTGGGGGCCTGCCAGTTAGCCCAGTTGTTTAAGTGCCTGCTTATGCAAACACAGTCAGGAGCAGGATACTGTGGTTTGATCCCCAGATCCTCATGCCTCAGCAGACCTGCCCTTAAGGCATCCTGAGCCAGCCCCAAAAAAAAAAAAATCCTTCTGTTCCTCCAATAGTGCATCTATCCAGTTGCTCAAACTAAGAGTCCAAAGGTGACCTTTTCAGATCCAATCTATCAACAAGGGCAGCCACTGATAGCTCTGAATTATTCCAAATGTATCCATCTCTGTTTGGACTATTGTATCCTAAAGCAAATTACTACCTTCCTTATTTCGGTTTTTACAATAGCCTTCATCTTAGATCCAGCAGACTGGCTCTCTTAAGTGCCATTTTACCTGCTAACTGGAGAAGTTGGAAGATCTCACATTAGAGTTCCAGGCTGAGCTGGACGCTGGCAATGACATGCAGAAGCAGTTGTAAAGACAGGCAAGACAGAGGCAACCTTCCCAAAGCCACAGCTGTTGCTAAGCAACATCACAGGTCCTTAGCCAGCTTTCCCAGGCGTGTTGGAAGCAATGGAGGTGGGCACTCGAATGCCCTGCTGCAGTGTGCTTCACCACAAGAGTCCAGGCGTAGTTCCCTTAGCTATTCTTCTAGACCTTCCACTTATTTTGAAAATCATCTTACTCCTTGCTTTATATTCCTTTCTCACTAAAATACCCCTGAAGAGGCTTTGGTTCTTTCAACCCTGATACACGTACCTGGGTCTTGCACCCACCTTTTTTTTTTGGCCATTCCTGGGCATTGAACCCAAGGCCCTGTCACTGAGCTGCATCTCCAGCCTGTTTTGTTTTAGTACTGGGAATCAAACTCTAGACCTCGTGCTTGCCAGGCAGGCACTGTGCTGCTGAGCTATGTCCCTGGCCCCTCCAGCCTTTTTTTGAGACAAGTTCTTATTACACCACCAAGTTGCCCAGACCGGGATTTCTCCAGACTCAGCCTCCCGGAGTGCCAGGATTCCAGGGGCGCGCCCCCGTGCCAGGCGTTCCTGCAGTCACTCTTGCTCACCTATAACCCATTCTTTACCCAACAAAGAAGTCCTTAAAACTGTAAATCACTCAGAATCTTCTATTCAGCATCCTCCAGGGACTCCCTGCCATGCCTAGACTACAATCCCAACCCTTTCCTGGACGGCAGGCCACCGTCAGCTTCTCCATCCGTGCACCTCTCCAAGGCACCCAGCCACCAACTTGCAGTCCTCATAGTGCGCCACACAGCTCCATGTGCACAGGCTGCTCTTGCCTGGCACCTTCAGTGATCACCTTTCCTGCATTTCCTGGTAGAAAGTCTGTTTCCATGTTCTCTGCAGAACACTTACTAATACTATCTCATATTCTGTAGTCTTTGAATAGATGTGAAGACAATGTGCATGCTGTAGACGCTTAATACTTAATAATGTAGATTTAGTTTGCAAAGACGACGAATTTTACTTCTGTTAGGGTCAGTCTGAATGCAATAGCAAAACTTTACTCAAATATCAGCCAAAGGATATCATTTTGCCGTCAAGGAGAGCATGGTGGGACAGCAAACGGCTTTGGCACTTATTATTTTAACTTTTATTCCGACAGGAATGAAAAAGATCTGAAAATAAACTCTCTTCATACTGCTCCTGGAAAAACTACCCCAAGTCACTCATTTTTTTAAATTTATTTTTTCATTTTTTAAAATGTCTCAAGGATAGTCAGCGAAAGGGACAGAAATGGCTAGCACGAGGCTGGCGAGATAGCTCTGCACTCCAAAGCGCATGCTTAGGCAAGCGGCAGGGACCACGGTTCGATCCCCAGCAACACATGCTGCACCAGCCCCTCATGAACTACACTCATTTTCCTCTCTGGCCGCTCTTCCTTAGCCTCACACCCCACAGCTGGTGGCCTCCACTTGAGAAAAGTCTGCAAAGACAGTGCCATCTGCCGGGCAAAGCCTGCAGTGCACCAACCCGGCGACAGGCCTGTGGCAGTGAACCCCTCCTGCAAGTCCAGAGGGGTAGGGCTTCCCTGAGGGCAGCTTTCCAGAATGTGGGCAAGGAGGCCCAAAGGTTACAGTGCCCGCCAGCTTGGGAAATCAGGACCACCCTGGGAAAGAGAAAACTGAACCAGGCCTGGATTAACTGGAAGGAGACGACACAGAGCCACACTTCCAGAGTCCCTCGCACCCCTTAGTCTCTGCAAACAAGATGCCAAGGAAACGCTTTTACACTCCTTGACAGACATTCCAAATGGTTTTTTTTTCTTCTTCTTCCTGCCTGAAGTCCACAAGTTTATTTGGATTTACCTCTTAATTCACTGCTCTGCATGTTTGCGGACTCAGGGTAGCCCTGAGTTGTGTCCTGGGCCCTTTGTTTATTGAGACATGTTCTCACGAGGCCAGTCAGTTACTGTGGGCGCCCATTCATGATCCTCCTGCTCTAGCCTCCCAGGAATCCTGTCCCGGGGATTACTGGCCTGTGCCATCACATTCCACTTCACTACTCCCTTTCTTAGGTTATAAGCAGAAGCAGCCTTCCCACTTTACTCTTTAGGTCCTTCCAAAGAGCCTTTCATCACACAGCTAGAATGGTTTCTTTGAATCTAGAACTTTTTGCTCAAGTTCTCCCCCATTCTGACAACCTGAGGCTCACATTCCACCTTGCTCTTACCTCCTCCACTGGCTTTTCTGTCCTCATTCCTCAGAGTGAACTGCAGCTTTCCTGAGGTATTCCCCAGGGCCGTCAGGGCCTCTTTACTCCCACCCTGGCTGGCTAGAACTGAGTGCCTCGACTGCTTCCGAACTTCCAGCCTAGGGCTCATTTCTTCCTTACTCCTCCAGTTTCCTTTACTATGGCTAAGGGGCACTCTGCTATCTCCTTTGCCTATGCACTTCCAGAAAAGTGAACGTCTTCTCACTGCCATTCGTGATTTCATCATTTACAGATTTCTCCCATTTCTATGATTAATTTAAACTTATTTCTGTTTTTCTATACTTGTATACTTTTATACCCTCTAGATTTGATTAGCTTCTAGATCAAATTAACACTATAAAATATTCCAAGTCTGTCACTGTCCTCTCATATTCATAAGATTACTTCCTTTTCCTAATTCAAAGCATTCCTAAAGTTATTCCTCCAGAATTCCTTAGTTTTTGTTTAACTAGGAAAACAACTGCCTTCTTCAAGCATCATCTAATACACTTACAAGATTCCCCAAAATTTTAAACCCCACTCATGCGCTGAATCTTTACTACCCAAACGAAACCCTAACCACCTGTGCATACGTGATTCATATGCCAGTCGGGAGGCTTCCTGGGGCGCCCCATGAAATATGCACACACCACACTTAATTAAGACAAACATGAAAATGAAAGCATTGGTTTTTCAACCCTCTAGTCTCAGCTTCTCTTTTGCTTCTGGCAGGAAGTGATACAGTTCAGCCACTTGTATAAAGGTTATGAGAGGGGCCAGAGAGATGGCTCAATAGAATAAGTGCTTGCCTGGCAAGCGCAAGGGCCTGAGTTCAATCCCTAGTTCCACCAAAAAAAAAAAAAAAAAAAAAAAAAAAAAAAGAAAAAAAGAAAAAAACTTAAGAGAAAAAAATGCTTTTATTAATCACAACATGAAACTGACGTGAAATTTTTTAGAACTGAACCAAGACAACTAATGCTGTTATAAAATTACATTTCTCACATCTATTTCAGAGGAAAATATTATGTACTAGCACTTTTTTTGTTATGGGCCAATTTCAATCAAGTTTTAAAAAATAGTAAATAGCAATTAACATATATTTTCAAACTGTGCTAAGATAGTGGGAAGGCAACTAGAAAATCTGGGATAACAACCAGCAGGATCAGGACTGTCCCGTTAAACGTTCAGCGTCATCAGTGTGCATTTTCACTGAGAAGACAAATGTTTGCTGCGGGAACCACGAGGCAGCAAATCTCTTCTTACATAAGGAGCACTTGCCTGATCAAAGCTCCACTTGAAGGGAAACAGGTCAGCTTTTCCATTTGTACACAGGGAGGCAGCTATTATCATCTTGTAACTCACATACACAGGAAGAATGAATTATTATTGGGAATTTCTCTGACATTATTTGCAGTTTTTAAAAAAAGACTTCTGAATATCTCAAAACTGGCTTTCTTTTTGTGGTAATGATGCAGTAACACTAACGTGTCATCTGTAGCTTGGCAGTTTCTTCTATCAACTGTGTTTTGCTTTCAGTAAGGGATACATACGGTCTCAAGCAAGGTCTTCATATAAAGCATCTTTAAATAAGTTTCATTTTCAATGAACTGAAAACTTTTTCTTCACTATGTGCCCATGGAAATTAACTAGAGCGCACACACAGGTACATCTTTACATTAGAATAAAGGCAGCTGAGGGTCCTCAGAAACCCTGTCTACGTGGCAGAGGGCAGGCGGAGCTCACTGAAGGAGCTGATGAGCTGGTAGTTCGTTTTCTCATCGTCTGTCAGCCCTGCGTTGCCGGGCCTCACCACCACCGCTACATGCACATCCGCTTCCTCCGCAGCACTGGCCTCTGCAGGCAGGAGAGAATGGGTCAAAAACACCAAAACACCAGGGCTGCGATTTGCTGTTATAAACTACTAATGCTCAGCATTAGTTATTTGCAACAGTTTGAGATTTGCAACATTATGGGGAACATGGCAACAGCAGCAGCAAATTTGGGTCTGATTTTTATTGACACTACAAGATAAGCACACTTTCTTCTCCTCATGTGTCCATGTTTATAAAACTGCCTCACTGTTCCCCGCAGAACAGCAGAGTGGCGTATACTTGAGCTTCACTGAACACGATACTATGGTGCAGAGACAGCCTCTGTTCCACTGCCTTGTTCTCTCCCACTGAGCTGTCTGCAGAAGGGCAGGCTGCAGGTAACAGCAGGACTAAGCAGGTGTGGAGCAGAAGTAATCCTACAATTCAAACAGGCTGAAGTACCCACTCACCCCAGCCCGACGTGTCATGCACCCTCCCTATACTACCAATCCCTTCTGCCTGGAAAATCCTACTCTTCAAAATTCAGTTCCCAAGTTTTCCAGAGCCACTTGCTCCCCCACCATGTGTATTCCTGCCACAACACAAATGAACAGTGGTTGTTTCTCCCCTCATTATCCGTAAGTCCTAAGGTCAGTGACACTGTGTGTATGCATGACAGGGCACAATAAAGCCAGAAGTCAAATTAAACTAAGTAAATAAGATAATGCAAGAGATCTCTCTAATATACATTTGGCTGCACTGCTCTCTCCATTGTATTTTTATTTGAAAAATAACAGCTAATAGGTCCATTAATTTAGCAATTCCTAGGTGCTAGGTACTATTCTGGGATCAGGGCTGTGTGGACAAAACAAAGCTCCTACCTAATGGCGTACCCAGTCGCATCTAAATCACACAGTGACCCAGGGAACCACATCATGATCCACAGACACAGAAACTGAGAGCGAGCAGGGGCCAGGTCAAACCCTGAGCCTCAGCCTCACTTCCTGGTCTGTGCTCTGGCCAACAGGGGCAAATGACAGGCTGCATTTGCTGTGGCACAGAGCCACACCCCCTCCCTTGTGTACTGACTGCCCAGCCCTACAAGGGCGGCTGAACGGCTGGGACACAGAAGCGATGGGGCGCAAAGCCTGCAGCAGCCACCTGCAGCCTCTCTGGGAAAAGCCAGCCAGCTTCTGCTCTTGGGTGCTGACACCCAGGTGGAAGACCCACCTCCACCCCAACGTGGAACAACTGCTGAATCAAGATCCGCCTGATTCCGCCACACAGGCCAAGCGGGTTCAAGAACTACACAAAGTGCTCGCTTCAGCAGCACATAAACTAAAATTGGAACGATACAGAGAAGATTAGCATGGCCCCTGCGCAAGGATGACAAGCAAATTTGTGAAGCGTTTCATTTTTTTTTTTTACATGAAAATTTTAAGTGATGCTATATAGATTTTCAAAGTTACACATGGAACAGTTTTCCTATTGTGTCTTTAGAACTCGTTTGGATTTTCAACACTTGGAGCTGTCAGGATTCAGAGTAGAAGAGTGGTCATGTTGCCCAACAGTTGCTGATTTTAGTGATCCCAGCTTTATTACCAGGACAAAAGAAAGAGGGTTTATTCCCTGCACTGGCCTTTTCTCCCGCATGAATGAGCCTCTGATAGGAGGGCAGATGCAGGTGCGGTAGGGAGGGAGACGCGACAGATCCTCGCTATGGGTACAAGCCCCATGTCTATGAAAGGGGCCAAACAGTATAAAAAGACTGTAGAAAATATTTTTATAATATTTTTATAACATACACATGTTCTCAGTTTCTTAAATGGAAACTATTACAGGATAGAGAGCTTTTTTCTCCAAACAGTCGACATTTAGTTATAGTCTACAATTAGGATTACAAAAATAGTTTAAAATCCTTAAAATATTAAATAATTTGATGGCACTAGTGATTAAAAAATGACAGCTAAAATATATCTCAATAGTTTGATGGTAAAATTTGGCATATTAAAATGTATATTTTCTGGTGCTGTCTGAAATAAACATGAACAAAAACTGAAACAAAACATAATTTCAAGTGTACTTATGAAAATATCAATTACTATGAATCTGCAAAATTGGAACAGAAATGTTTAACTTATAGAATATAACAATAGTGTTATTCCCTATACTTACACATGTATAAATCTTTATTTCATCTTTTAGAGACAATAAATTAACTGGGCTATACTTGTACTTACATTGTATTTTCTAAGGAACAAATATAAATGCCAGGAAGAAATAATGGTTTAGTCCAAGCTCTTAATACAAATCATACCTTTGTGAATTTTGTACAGTATAGTATTTTAAGTTATTAAAACCATCAAAACTAAAAAAGAAAAAGAAAAAGAACTACAGGAAAAGAAAACTCAGAGAAAGGAGTAATTCTAGGCAGGAATAAAAAGCACACGAGTAAGCCCTGAGCACAGAGCAGCTGGAGTGGGAATCGGAACATGGGTGTGAAGGAAGAGGAGACTTCTCAGGCCAGGCGGTGACCAGGTAAAAACCTGGCACGTGATCTAGGAAACCAAGGCTTGGGTTACAGACAGGCAATTCCTCAGTCTCTGGGACTAACTACAGGGCAGCAGTGCAGAGACAGAGCTGCTCCTGGAGAGACCTGGTGGGCAGGGCAGCTTCTCTATCGGCCTCTCCCGAGTCCAGCAGAAAGCCAGCTGCTTCTCACCCACCTCCCAGCCTGACTGCCAGGTAAAGCTTCAGCCTACCCAGCAGTGCAACCACATCACAACCACAAATGCCAGCCAGTGGCTGCTCTAAGTTCAGCCACCATGTCAGAGGACGCAAGTCTCCCATCAGCATGTTTGCTCTATTAGTGAATATTGAACCACTTAAGCATGTGTTGACCTAAAACTCTGGACTCCTTTCCTCGTCTCCATAGAGAAAATCTTTTGCTCTCTCTCTCACACACTTGGGAATCATCCGGGTTTCGACTTGGTCTTCTGGCTGCCTTCGCAGTGGGATCTGGGCCAAGGGTGACTGGAAGAGCAAGGCAGCGGCCAGCCTCGTCCCAGCCACACATGTGCCAGTTCTCTCTCTTCCAAGATGAGTGGCAGGAATACACCTTCACGTGGAAAAGGCAAGAGGAAGCCAATTTCACTTTGAGGCTAACTTGGGGATCATTGTTATTCTTTGTGGAGTTAGGAATAATTTCTAGAACTGCAATCAAAGGAAACGGCTTAGGAAAGAAAAGAAAGACCTAAAATTATACACGTATGACTAGGAAATTATAGCTGCACCTAGTACCACCAAAAAAAAAGTACATTGCTATCATTTTTGGGGCTGGCTGAATTGCCCATGCTGAGATGGGCAATTCAGACTGGGTATGCTGGCACACATGCCTGTAATCCCAGCACTTGAGAGGCTGAAAAACAGGAGGATCACTACAAGTGTGATCTATGTAGTGAGACCTGTAGACCCTGCACTAAATATAATATATATATGAAAGAAATTATAGATGCATAGCTAGAGACAAGAATATGAAGAAACTACAAGTAGTCATAGAGGCATTGTAATCATTAACCGAAAGTATGGAGAGAGGATTGGGAGATCCCAGGCTGAATAGCATTCAGTCAGAGAAGCAGCTGCCTGGGTGGGGAGTTCTAACCCAAAGCAGGTCCTTGATTCTAAACTTGCAGAAATCTACCATGCAGAATGCTAGGAAAGCCACGCCTGGTGCACACAGCCGTAAATGCCTAGCATCCCAGCACTCAAGAGGCTCACAAGTTCAAGGCCAGAGTGGAGTACAAAGCAAGACCACAGCCCAAATAACCCAAGTACAACCACAATGTGCTATGATAATCACACAGAAAGCAAACTGCAGTCACCTCTGACAGTTTCCTCCATGTGAATAAAGAAAAGCAGCTGAAACCAGCTAACCTCACTAGAACAAGACCTATTTCCTCCCCATTAGGAACAAAACAGCAACAGGGCTTCAAACTGTCTTCACAGAAACTGATGTGCCCTCCCTCACCCTGCAATAAGGCAACCTCACCAGTACCACTCTTATGTCCCCAAAAGCCACCCGAGGGTACAATGTAGCTTGAAACTGTAGAAGGGGCTATATAGAAATATGACTGGCAAAATCTGTTCACAGTTCAGGTGCAAAGACAGTATAGGTGGGATGGCGGTGGCCAAGGTTAATGCTGCGGACGGCGCCTTTCTCGTGGCCTGGCAACTCAGTTAAGAATAAGCCTCCATGTGAGCAAGCTTTCCAGGAAGTAGAAAAAATATGCAATTTATAGAAAGCTTTCAATCTGGAAGCTGACCTAAGCCGGACACACAGGAGAGAGGCTGATCCCACTAATCCCACTAAACTAATCTGCCAAGTTTCCAAATTTCAAGGTAACAAATCATTGTGAATTGCTGTTGTTCACCTAAATTAAAAATTCCAGTCCATTTACCCAAGACTGAAAATGTGACAAAGACATTAATTACTAAAGCCAGGCCCAGTGGTACACACCAATAATCCCAGCTACTCAGGAGCGTGAGCCAAGAGAGTCACAAATTTGAAGCCAACAAATGTCTTAAAAGCTGGGGACAGACGTAGCTCAAACCTCCCTGGTTTCAATCTCCAGTACAGAACTGAATGTCTACTTACGCATCAGTGACACACAGATGTTAGCCTTGCTCTATTTGTATTTCGTTGGAAAAAGATGTAACTTCTGAAGGCACCAGTGATCTGGGCTGGTTAACAGTTTTTACAAAACAGCTTAGCAAATCTAAACATGCAACTCTTGCCCATCACACTGAACGAAAAGCTACATACATGGCTGGCAGAAGAGGGAAAAGTAGAGCTCACAGTCACTACTTCAGGTAAGAACTTTCACTAGCAGCTGCATTTTCCTGTAGACCTCATCTCCGAAAATCCTGGCCAGAGAAGTGACTTAGCTGCCTGATACCACACAGGAAGGCTGCACAGAATCCTGCCACAGACCATGGAAGCCTCTTCCAGCAGGCGCAGGTACTGTGTGGAAAAGCAGTGGCCTCATCCCTTGGGTGTCCTCTCCACAGTGCCCTTGCCCAGCTGAGTGTGAGGCTGAGAGTCAACTTGACTGGCTTGGGAGCCACCCAGGGAACCAGGAACACACACGTCTGTTGGGGAGTGTCTGGGCAGGGCGTGCACTGTGCCCGTGCTCTCTGGCCCAGCTGCCCTGCTGTCCTGCTCCATTTCCTGGCTGCTGCGACCCAAGGTTTGCTCTGCCAGCTGATCATGGACTGAAACTTTTGAAACTGAGCTAAATAAACCTCTTCTGCAGGTTGCAGGCGTGGGATACGTCGTCCCAGAAAGGAGAAAGTGGACCAAGGCATCAGCCTGTGTCCCTGTCACAGACACACTCTATCTCAAGCCCCAGCACCACGCACAAAGTCCTGTTCTAGAAGTAACTGAGGGTGTGACCTCAGTCCCAGAGAAATTTACAACCCGGAGTAGAAAGGAAAGACCATAAATATGTAGAACCATGCTGAAATGCACACACAATTACCAACACCGGAAGTCAGTCTGCCAGAGAGGCAATCGAAGGTGGGAGCCCAGTGGGAGAGTGAAAGCCTCCCCGCCCAGTGGCCTGCAGGAAGACCCACAGTCCACCTTCCCGTGTGCCTGAACTTCCAGTGTCCTCATTCACCGACTTTCCCTCCTTTATTTCTCTTGAGGACCCACCTTCTTACAGATGACATAGCATGAATGTCCAATCTGGTGGGAAGAACTACAGAAATCACTTACATTGCCAGTAAAATGCACAACGCTTTGAGCATCCAGTCCTTAAGTGATTACGCATAATGCTAAGACACTGTGCATAATAAAGGGGGCCAGGCTGGGTAAAAGTTGCGTGCATCTTTACCTGGAAATCCAATTTGATGATTTACAACCTGGAAGGCACCGAGGGAAGAGAGCAGGGAGGGAAGATGGAGATGAGTTCTGCTCTCACGGTTGGCAGTGGAAAGGGTTCCATTGGGAATGACAGGCAGACTTAACCACATACAGCTCCCTCTTTTTTTTTTTTCCCTAAGGCTAGAGCTGGCCTCATTTGTTAAAACAAATGGGTCTGTAGTACAAGGCAGGCTGCTCCCCTGGAATATGTAACACAAGAAGGCCAGTGGGCATGGTGCTATGTGCCTGTGGTGCCAGCAACTCAGGAGGATAAGGCAGGAGGAGAGCTTGAGCCCAGCAGGTCCAGGCCGGCCTGTGCTATCACTACTCACCTAAAGTAATATCTGTCAGAAACAAGATGTTTTTCGTTGAGCACCCAATGCTATCTGCAATCTTTCGGTAGCTCTCACTCTCCACTTTGTGTCCAATCTTGGTGTCAAAGTGACCATCAAAAAGCTGAACAAAGAGAAGACAGGAAGAATAACAATGACACCAAATCCTTTTGTCTCACATCTTTTATCCCTGAAATGCATGAAATCATAGTGACTTCATTCATTCAGTAAATATCTACTAAACATCTACCTTAATAGAGAACTTTATGGCCACTCAATAAAGTAAACATAAAGGTTTTATAATAATAAACACTTGGAAGAAGACATACATAAGATTATACATATGACTTTCACTGGCATTCATTTTATATCCACAATCATTCAGAGATACACATTTCCTACATTCTATCCTTGAAACACTATTTATTCAAATTACTAATTGAACTGGATTTCATTCCTGAAGAAAGGATCTAAACATTATCCTTCTGATCCTAGAATGAAAAGTGTTGTTTTGTTTTGTTTTGGTGGAACCAGGGATTGAACTCAGGCCTTTGAGCTTGACAGGGAAGCGCTTATTCCACTGAGCCATCTCCCCAGCCCTATTAGAATGAAAAGTTGTATCTAATTTGTGTCATTACTTTGTGCTATTGCTTTACTTTCAAACAATTTTCATTTTCTTTCTTTTTTTTTTTTTTTTTTAAGCAGAACCAGGGATTGAACTCAGGCCCTTGTGCTTGCCAAGCAAGCGCTTACCCTATTGAGCCATCTCCCCAGCCCCCAAAATTTTCATTTTCTAATTAAAAATTTTTCAACTCTACCCTGTGCTAGTGGATATCCAAACCATCTTAGAAGTAACTGAAGTCAAATGTGTCCCTTGCTTATACCCAACAGTAATTAAGACAAGCCCGTATTTAGGATTAGCTAATAAAACACGATCATCTGAATGTCTTCAGAACTTCTCACTAGACACAAGCCTGGTGATCACTCAGAATTAAGGAAATGTTACCTTTTCTAAAGTGAAGACTGGCTTTGTATATTCCTTTCATTTTGCCTTATTTGGTAACTGAAGAATAAGATTTTTTTTTTTTTTTTTTTTTTGCGGAACCAGGGATTGAACTCTGAGCTTGCCAGGGAAGCGCTTATTCCACTGAGCCATCTCCCCAGCCCAAGAATAAGATTTTTAACATGAACTTGGCAAGTAATTATCATGCTGTCCACTTTCACCTACTGCCTATGGTATGAGAGAGCAGAAGTTTTCTATCTGTATTCAGAGGGCAGTCACTAATGACTAAAGGGCTTCACTTTAGTTTCATATTTGATTTAGAAATAAGGAAAAAGTAAAAAAATTAAAATAGGACAAGCTCTAAAGCCAAAGTATTCTCTGCAAACCCCCCCCCCCCAACCAGGGATTGAACTCAGACCCTTGAGCTTGCCAGGGAAGCACTTACTCCACTGAGCCATCTCCCCAGCCCCTCTGCAAACTCTTAAGGACTCAATAAATATTTATTTAGTGGCACAGTGCTTGCCCAGAGTGCACTAGGTGCTAGGTTCAACTGGATTCAATCCCAAGCACCGAAGAGAGACAGAGACAGAGACAGAAACAGAGAAAAATACAAAGGAAAGCAGGGAGGGAGAGGGGAGAAGGAAAGGAGGGAAAGGGAAGGGAGAGGGAGGGGAAAGGAGTTACCTGGCCAAGTTACTTGTATCACTAAGTTCATGCTGCACTCAGTTGTCGGCTCTTTTGTCCCTCTTTATGATGCTAGGACTGAGCCCACAGTACACACTCCTCTCCTAAGCTACACTCACAACCTGTCAGCACTTCTTTTAAAGTTTTAAACGTATTCCCTTCCGCTGACCACCACATCCTTAAGGGGCCACAGGACTGTGACACAGAGAGAAGAGCAGGAATTTTCTCATATACAGGAAACGTGTACTAGGTATTTTTAATTTACCATTGTGCTTCATAATGTGCCCAACTATCCTGTATAATAATGCAGGGTTTTTTTTTCTCCTCCAATAAAACCCACACCTCTGCAAAGTGCTAGAAACAAACGAAACTACTTCGTGCTTTGCTGAAGTCCTCAAGGGCCTGCAGCCCGGCCAGCAGTACACACACACCAAGCACGCACCAGGCCCGCGCTTCAGTGCCCAGCACACACCCGTGCCACAGACACTCCTTCAAGCAGCTCTTATAACTATGCACAGCCCTGTTTGGCATCTTCCCTAATTTTATTCTTTTTTAAGACACAGAATCAACTTCTTCTGTTTTTCTGTACCTGTTTCACACGCTAGGCAAGGGCTCTACTAGAAAGCTACATCCCTAGTCCTTTCTTCAAATGTAATTTGAGACAAGGTCTCACTTAGTTGCTTAGGCTGACCTCGAATTTGCAATCCTCCTGCCTCAGTCTCCTGAGTATGTGGTATTACAGGCATGTACCACCAAATCCAAGCTGAATAAACTTTGATTTTCAAGACACCTTATTTTATACAACCAAAGAACAATTCTCTACTTTCTTTTGGGTATTGATCTTCTAATACTGGCAAGACAGCCGATTTACATGCCAGCTCAGGGGCTGGCATGTCTGTATATACATGCATGTTTTTACATGCAAACACTAGCCAGCTATACTTACCCTCATCTAAAATCACCTCAGATGGAGGTTTAAATGCAAGCTCACAGCCCCACTCTAGATCTGCCCATTCAGATTTGCTAGGAGGCAAGGCCCAGAGAGCCACAGTTTTCACAAACTCTTTAGGTGATCCAAATGTGCAACAAAGCTTAAGAATAAATATATGTATTTCATTTATTTGTATTTATGTGGTACAGAGTCTCACTATGCATCTCAGGCTCACAGCGCTCTTCCTATCTCAGCCTCCCTAGCACTGGGACTACAGGTACGTACCACCACACCTGGGGTTCTGGGGTGGCACAGCATGCAGTACTTGACTGAACCTGGGTCCTTGTGCTTGCCAGGCAGGTGCTTAGAACACCCAGCTATCTCCCCAGCCCTAGTTTAAGAGATTCTGATCAATAAAGTCATCACATATTTCAACCCTCTCTATGCATTCCCATTTCTTTTTAAATTTTTTCTTTTTGGTTTATTGAGAGTATCCCTATGCAGTTCAGACTGGCCTTGAACTCATGGTGATCCTCCTGCCTCAGCTTCCCAAGTGCTTGGATCACAGATGTGTGACACCATGTCTGGCTTTGTACTTCTTTTTACAACCTACCTATCAGCACATATAAATGTAGTTACCTGCATGTGGAGTTAATTGTAATATAGCACAATCCTTACTCCATATTTTATCCTTTGAAAGTGTTAAAAGAAATAAAGTAACCTACCTCAAGAATATCTCCCTCTGTAGAATGCCCAAATAAAAGTTTCTGGGCCTCGATGCTCCCTGAGGAATAGACATACACCTTCATTCCAGCTGCTTTCCACTTCCTGACTGCAGGCACTACATCTGCGAAGAACCTGGAAGGAAAAGTCAGGTTAAGCTGCGTGAGCACTTCTTGGAGGCCCATGAAAACCAGCAGAACAAATGCCACGTTTCGCTACTTGTGACCAAATGGAACCTGAGAAGCCACTACACAACTCTAATCACGGCAGGTGAGAAGAAACAATCTGAGTCGTAAGAGTATTTTTTTTAAGAATAATTTTTGAGGGCCAGGGAGACAGCACAGTAGCATAAGCACCTTCCTGGCAAGTGCAGGATCATGAGTTCAATTTCTGGTACCACAAAAAAGAAGAAAAGAAGGGGGGAGAGACAGACAGACAGACAGTCAGTCATTTTCACAGTAAAAGACTATAGAGGAGGGTCCGGGGAGATAGCTCAGTAGAATTAGTGCTTGCCTGGCAAGCACAAGGGCCTGGGTTCAAAAAAGCAATAATATATATTATATAAGCTCTAATGTAATTCGTGAAAATATTAACTTACGAGATTTAAGAAAGCACAGCAGCACTTTTAGAAAAAAATCTGCACTCAAAAGATTTTTTTAAAAAGTCTAAGAGACCAATGCTATAAATCTTCAATTAGCTAGGAAACAGAATTACATTTTTTGAGAACTAAAAAAAACTTAATCTTTTATTGTACAGGAAAATAGATTTCGGAACAAGTTAAGTCAGGTAAGAGACTTGAACCACCTCACATTGGCCAAGCAGTAAACAGTGTTTGGGTTCTGGATTCCTGACAGTCTCAATTTTTTTTTTCTTTCTTTTTGAGACAGGATCTCACTGTATAGTTCAGACTGGCCTTGAGTTCACTGTGTAGCCCGACTGGCCTCTAACTCACAGCAGTCCTCCTGCCTCTGCCTCCCATATGCTGGGACTCTGGCATGCACCATCACACCCAGCCTCAGTTTTTTTTACCAATTCTATAGCATTTCCACAGTTAGTAATAAGTGAAAAAAACAGGGAGCCAGCCAGATAGCTCAGCAGACTAAAGCGCCCACTTAGGCAGATGCAGGGAC